ACATCTTGTGTTTTATAGATACAGATGACCAAAAATACATTTTATCTGTAGTTGGAGACAAACAACTGCGTTCAAAATATGTAGATCTCGGTATTCAAATTGAGGTTGATATGCCGTCAAACAAAATCAATCAACCAACAAACTAGCCACTAGTTCGACAGAAGTGAACAGGGCTTGCTTTGAAATCACTGATCTAAAACATTATTTCTAAAGTGAAAATGCTGGGTATTAAATGCAAAAACGTAACGATCTCAACGGGAGAGAAGGTTTTGAACAGATAGATAGATAGATAGATAGATAGATAGATAGATAGATAGATAGATTAAATATAGTAAGGAAATCGCTCTAGTATTAAAAATATCGGTAGAATGAGATAAGAGAGATATAACGTGTGTGAGTAAAAAAGATGACTTAGAAATAAGCCGAGTATTTATTAACTGTGAAATCAGTCGTTTTATTCTTGAAAAGATTGTAAGAAACTAAAAGAACCAATTTAGAAAAGAACGCAAGAAAGTATAAAAATAGAAACAGAAAAATAATGAGACGTCAGAATACAAAGAAACATGGAAGTACAGTGGTTAGAGAAAAAAATGACAGATAAGCAAGTTAAAAACATGAATCAGAATTTGCTTGACAAAGAGGCCATTGTATATGACATCCTTTTGAATACTGATCTTATGACAAACTATTATGGAAAAGCGTATTAAAACTAAGTATTTAAAGAAGAATCTATATGAGGATAAAATTCTTTTATCTTCGTTTTAAAACTACTTTTTACTCAGAAGAATAGAAACATCGGCTTCAAAAAAAAAAAACCCCAAAAAACTTTGTTGTTCGTTGGCTTGAAAACACTTTCTAGTAATAATAACCTGATTCAAAGATTAAACCTGTTCGATTACACAGTCCATTTTGGTTTTGGGAATTTGAATTTATCTTGTTTTTGAGACTGGAAATAAAATTCTTCAACCTTACAGGTTCTTTCTGGCTTTCAAACACTGATTCCTTATTCCGTGGCGACATATGAGTTTAGTTCCATTCTTTTTTGTGCAATACGACGAAGTCTCTGAAGTCTCTGAACATTATCATACATCGCAAGCCTACTTAAATCTCTTGGGTTTACGACCATATCACGAATGAAACACCGATTCTCGTGCGATCACCGAAGTTAAGCAACGTTGTGTCTGGTTTGCACCTAGATGGAGGACCGTTTGGCCATACCAGACGCTCTAGGTTTGGATGTGCCTGTAGTATAATGGACAACGGCTTGGAAGAGGAACGCGGAGGGACCGAGTTCTAATTCCAGGAGGTTTCCTTATATTCACTTGCCCGCAAATACCTTTGCGAAAAGGTATGAATCTACCTCTTCTGCCCCCAGCTATGGGTTAATTAGTAGGGGTTTTATCAATAGATTTCAAAAATATTCTTAGAATTTAAAAATATTTTCTTGTTTTAAATAACTTGGAAAGGTTTGATGAGCCGTAAAAACAATCAATCAATCGATTTACTATATTAATACATACAATCGATATTAAGACATACCTGCATCAATAAGTGTAGACATAGATGCGAACACACCTGCAAGCAGATAATTAGTTGTAGGTATTGCGCATATAATTAGTGGAAAAATTGTTAATATTTATGAGATATTAGTCACAATTCATAACTTCAAGTCATTTTAAAAGAAAAATTGGAAAGTTTTAAAATTCAAAGAAATCCTGTAACTTGAATGTTTACGAGATTTAAAAAAAATATGAACACTATCGTAGAATCAAGCTATTATACACCGTAATTGGAATCGTGAAAAATGTCCACCAATAGTTAAGTAAAGCATTAGAAAACTGCAAAATTTCGTTAGAAACAAAATGAAGAGTACTAAACTGTTATCTTATATCAGTCCTCCTCTATGGTTGTGAATATTGGTAAATCTCTTCACAGATGAAGACGTGACCTGAGGCGACAGAAATATGTTTGTACAGAAGGATGATGAGAAATCTACGAAGTAAGCAATTAAGAGGAAATTTTTGGAGAAATGGAAGCAAAAAAGGACACACATCCTTAGAATCAGAAATAATTGAAATTTCTAGGATACATAATGAGGAATGAGGGCTTGGTGAATTTCAGGCACTCGCGGCATACTCAAGGCAAGAGAGCGGGAACTGTGAGTAAAGTATCTAACGAGCTTGTGTTAATTGATGGCAGAACAGGCATTGAGAGATGTTGCGAAGAAATCACTTTACTAAGAGTTATAAAGAATAGAAAACTGCAGAGAGACATGGTCGCCAACATCCTGAAAGATCCTAAAAAAGAAAAAAAAATCAAGATATTTCAAATAATATGCATAAATTATAGTAAATTATACGGCATTCCTACAATGTGTCAACATTTTAATAAATTTTACTGGATTTTTCAAGTTTAACAAAATTATCAATTAATATAAATTTAACTGGTGTGCAGGCGGTGTTATGCTTACCGACTAGGAATGATAAATTGTATAGCTTCTCTTTTGAACACATATCCTTGGAAAGGTACGAATCCAACTACTTCCCCCCAGCTAAGGGTTAAATATCAAGACAAACTTGGCGCTATAGCTATGGTTGTTAACCAGTCTTAGAGAATTCTGAATTCAAGAGGGTATGTTGCCCTGGCGTAGCACATCCTATGCAGCCATTGACAAGATTGGAATTCACAATGACTCAATGATATTGACCGTGGTCGCCCTACGACTATGTCTATGTGTTATTATTATTTGGTATCCTCTCCGGTTCTTAGATGTTAAAGAAACAACACTTTCTTCAGCACATGAACAATTCCAAAGAGTTCTGCAACATCCTGCACCACTCCCAATGCTGTCAGGTATCCACAGAGCGAGGCACAAGAGTGAAAATGTCTTGGAAATAGTAATGCGTGCACCAACCACAAAAGTGACTACTTGTGCTGCCCCATGGTATGTTTCTTTGTTTAGTCCGGCTATTTCACCTGCTCTATATCACTGCTATACCACAACGCCTATCATAATCTCTTTATTATTATTATTATTATTATTATTTACAATGATTTCTGGTGTGGTGAACTCATTTCTTTCCGGTTCCCACCCAGAGACCTAAAGTCAGAAATGGCCTCATGACATTTTCCATTGAGCAATTCAAAAAAAAAAAAAAGGAAAAGAAAAGGTAAATACCCATCCTTCCAACAAACACACCTATTTTACATAGATAACGCCCTTTGTAAGGTGTGGACTGTACTCGTGAGAACAATTTTTTGAATTTCTTTAAGGCATCGGCTTCCAGAAATCTCTTCAGCGAGTCTACTGGAATCTTTTCCAAATAATCCGAGGGCTCCAACAACAACAGTGATTATTGATGTTCCATGTGCCACACTTTTGAGGTTTCGATTTCAAGGTCCTTGTATTTTGATAGCTTTTTGAAGATTTTCAAAGATACATTTCAGTCAGCAGGGGATATCATGTCAATAAGGAGGCACTTTTTTGTTTGTGGTCTTTAATAACAATGTCTGGGCGGTTGGCTTTGATTGTTTTATCAGTGTGTATTGTGTAGTCCCATAGAATTGTAACAGGTCCTATCTCCGTAACCGGGTCTAGGTGGTGTTCATACCAGTTTCTTTCCTGTAGAAGTTGCAGATTTTCCAGTGTAGATATTCAGCCACGCTGTCATGCCGGGTTTCCTATTCAGTGGGTGCCAATACCATGCAGCCAGATACAAAATGGTCAATTGTTTCTGGATGTCTATAATAGAATCTACATTTTGGGCTAAAACCATTTTAATATGTGTGATTGATAATTTCTAGTTAACAAGCATTGGTCCTGTGTAGCAAGGATAAAAACCTTCACTTTCATATTTTAGCCCTAAACAACGTAGCCACTGATGTGTACAGGGTTTGTCTACATCAGCTTGTTTGGTACGGGCAGATTATTGACCCTGAAGCAGTTTATCGTTTCTGTATCGGTTGAATGTGCTTTTACTTTCATTTTTCAAATATTTTGCAGCTTCAGTTGGTGTATTGTGCTTTAATTGTATTTCTACATCCATTTGAATCTGAATTTTGAACTTGTTGGCTTCTTTTATTACGAAAATGTCGCTTGCTACTTTAACGTTCTTTGACACATCATCATCCAGTCTTCTGTAGTTTCCAGGTATCTTTGAAGGTCAATTGTTATAGTTTTGTCAGACAGTTATAGTTGAACTAAAACCTCTTTCGCATCTGGACACATACAGACGATGAACATCTGCCTTGGGATGATGCATGCAGTAGCAAGTGGGAAGCTTTCTCATTTTTACGTCCATTCGCTTAATGCTGATATGATCCAGTTAAGGATGTTGAAACTGTATTGCACCACAGGGACAGCCAAGGTATTTCTAGCTGATATTTTGTTTTTTGAATTCAACTCAGTATTCAGTACCAGACGCTCACGCCTGTAGTACGCCTTTCTTACCTTCTCCTTTATTTGGATATATTTCATTTTGTTCCAGTTCCGTAATATTTGTGAAGAAATCTAAATCTATTGAGTGTGTTTCTGTAATTCTCCCTTTCTTGAATGTTTCTTTTGAACATTTATTTAATCCGAAATTCATAATGATATCACTGAAACATTTTACTATGTTAGGGAGACTCTTCAAATCATAGTCGTTTTTGGCAAAGAATTTGAGATCATCCATATAGATTAGGTGATTGAATATTTTTGTTTTGTTTTGTTTGTAACCATAGCTGCTGTTGTTTATTTCATGGGTCAAGGGGGATTAAGAACAAACAAAACAGAAGGGATGAGAAGGAGTCTCCTTGAAAGATTCCACATCGCATATTCAGACGTTTGGAGATGGCAGTGGCTCTGGTATGATTTAGACATAAATGTGCTGTGCTTAAGGTAATTTACTACCACAGGGGTGACTTTGTACATTTCCAAAGTCTTAAGGGTCGAAGAGTGTGACACACTATTAAAGGCTTTAAGGTATTATTATTATTATTGCGTATGGTATTATCTTGACAGAGAGTAGTTTTCCTACTCTCTGTTAAGATTATATAGTGCTTAATTACCAAATGTCTTCCGGGGGTCAATGAGTAAATAGAGCACTACTTTTGTAGCTATGAGAATCTGATGTGTCCAGAAATTTTATTCCCATGATTTTCGGTAACTTTCTTTATTATACTCAACGCACCTACCACAACAGGGATAATGGTAGCTTTAAGTTTCCACATTTTTGTTACTTTGATTTTCAGGTACTTTATTATTATTATTATTATCATCATCATCATTCGATTTCTGCTATGGACACACTACCTACCAAGTCTGCGGAAAGACCTAAGGCAGGTCGTGGTGTGTTGTTATGGCCACATTTCATGTTAATTTTTTTTTTTTTTTTTTTTTTATCTCCGATGAAGTTGCTAGCGTTACATAGACAAAGTTCTCCTTAGTGTGTGTGCTGTACTTAATAAGACAATTTTCTGTATGTCTCTTAAGCTGGGGTTTCCAGGGATTCTTTCAATGTGTTGTTTTGTTCCATTTTTTATAATTCCAAGTGCACCTATTACCACTGGTATTATTCTTGTTTTCAATTTCACATTTTTTCTATTTCAATTTCCAGGTCTTTGTATTTTGATAGTTTTTCAAATTCCTTGGTTGCTATGTTACAATCCGCTGGACAAGCCATATCAATTAGTAGGCAAGTTTTTTCTTTCTGGTTTTTGACAATGATGTCCGGCCTATTTGCTTCAATTTTTCTGTCTGTGTGGATGGTATAATCCCATAGAATGGTGACATCTTCTATTTCTGTAACCGGCGCTGGCCGATGTTCATACCAGTGTTTGCTTACACATTTTCCAAAGTGTTTGCACATTGTCCAGTGTAAGTATTGCCCCACTCTATCGTGACGATTTTTATATTCATTTGGTTATTATTATTATTTTATTATTATTATTATTATTATTATTATTATTATTATTATTATTTCCTTGGATTTCTGTTCTAGAAACATTTGCTTCCGGATCCCAGCCAGAGACCTAAAGACAGAAATGCCATTTTCCACTGATCATTTTTGTAAAATTAAAACGCTAAAAAAAAAAACAAAAAAGAAAAACAAAAAGAAAAACCAAAAATACATTACACACATTTTACATAAATAATGTGTAAGCTTTACTTGTCAGTACATTTTTTGTGTGTTTCTTTAAGGCGTGTGCTACCAGGAATAGCTTTAATGAGTCTATCG